CCAGGTTAACTCCCATAGAACTAAATACTTTAAAAAGCTTGGATATCTTTTACATAAGTAAAAGTTATATTTGGATAAAAGCAAATAGGTGAAATTAAGGACAGTTAATCTAAAAAATGAAAATAAAAAGATAATATCCATTAAAAGTGGCACAGTAGTAGATACAAGTTTCTCCCTTTTAGAAAAAAAGTTTTTCCTGAAGTTGGTATTACTTCTCAGCTCAGAGAGCTAAGATGGCATTCAACTTGTACAAAGATAAAGACGCTACACTTTTTTCCAAATGCAACTAAATCTTTTGCCCATTAGCAAACTCCAGAAACTGAAAAAATAATTTTCACCATTGTTTTAGCAGTCTGTAATACAAGCCACTCCTATGCATATAACTGTGTCCTCCCTCTTAATCCTTTCAAATCATTTAAAATAAATGGAGGCAGGAACAGCGAGGAAAGAATCTGGGATGATAAAACACAGTATTTCACCCCTCAAACTAAAACCCATACATCTTGGATGGTGTAATGAGAATGCTAATTAATGTTTTTGTTTGGTCTAAGTCTCATCTAAAGAAAGAGTTTCACATCTGGTGCCTGACAAGGAAAGATTCTATTACTAAGGAAACAGAATTGTAAAGTACCTCCCCCTCCACATCCCCCAGTACACCTGTCAAGTTTTGCAGGTGAAGTTAGAGAACTCTGAAAGGGTCTACTTGGTTTCCACTGGGGTAAAGAAAAGCAAAACAGAATAAAGCAAAAATACACCACTTGGCAAATAGGCCTAGATGATACCTTACATTTTTAAAGTGCTATCATTGGGGGCGGGGCGGGTAATTAGGTTTATCTATTTTTAGAGGAGGTAGTGGGGACTGAACCCAAGACCTTGTGTGTCAAGCATGCGCTCTACCACTGAGCTATACCCTCTCCAGCTAAAGTGCTATCATTTACAGGAGAATTTTACATATATTACCTCTTGGTGTTTACCTCCATGTGAGGTAGGTAAAGAAAATTACTACCCTCACTTTGTAGAAGGGTTAGACAGAGACTCAAAAGAGGTTAGTGACTTGACCCAAATCAAAGGATTAGTAACGGGTTTTGCAGGAACTAAAAGCCAGGTCTTTATCCTCCAGTCCAGTGCTTGTTTTGGCATTGCTAAGTGCCCAGGCAACGTAGGCAAGATTGGTAGGCTTAGTGGCTTTCCAATGTGTGACAGTCAACAACATTCTCCTCTCTTTGTCCTCTTAGTCACAGGAGAGACAATGGTGTCTTAACTCTAGTTGGGGTCTTTGGGGAGGAGCCCCTTAAAAACATATGGGGCTCTAAAAATATAAAACATTCTAAGACTAACTGGTAACAACTAAAGGATTATTGTCAATGCCAACTCTTTTGAAGGAAAAGCATTTCAGTGCTGACTTTTATTGAACAAGAACCTTCCTATGGGCTTATCTCTTGTAGGGCAATCCCAGAAAAGTAAAGGCGGCACTCTGATATTTTTGTCAATTAGTTTAATATATGTCCGTAGGTAGTTCATATGAATGCTTAAATTACAAAATTAGCTGCCATGGTCCAAATGTGTGGGACTTTAAGAAAGCTTTTATTAGTCAAAAGATAGCTAAGCAAATCAACTTTGATTTCTAAAATGCATTTTAAAGGTTTGTAAAACAAGACTAATTCTAGAGTTATATAGCATTAAAGTAATTAAATTTTGTTATTTTTCTTATTTTAATAACTTAATTTCATGAACTGTTAAAAAATATTACATTTGCATCTCAGTTTACACATTTCTGCATTAACTTTTGCAGGTTATTAATTAAGAGAAAAATTAAGGGAAAAACCCATGTGAAAAATTTCCATGCAGTTACAAAGGCAGCAAGCAGCACATGCTGTTTTCACAGCAACTTGTCATTGCCTCAGAACACACCTGCACATAAAGTATCAAAAACAAACAAACAAAAACCCACCCACCCCTCTCCCACCAAAAACCCAACCCTTTCCCATCCCCAGCAAAAATTACCGGGTACAAGCAGTGACTTAAAAAATGCTTTCTTAGTAGGAAGCATTTATAAAATGCAGATATCTGAACAAGCTAAAAGCTCGTGCAGATAGATGGGCCTCTCCCCCAAGAGTTCCCTCCTCCAGAGGCAGAGAGAACTCTCAATAGTTTAGGAAAGCTCATTTTTAAAAGTACATTTATGCATATTCATGGCTATTTCTTTATAAGAATATACCCAGCCTCAACTGTGGAAGAGATAAAAGCAGAAGGAGAAGCAAAGGGACGCAGCCGTAATACAGAGAACAGAGCTTCTCCGTGAACATCCAATAGGTTGCAGCAACCAAGAAGGAAAACATTTGTGACTTCACATAGACCACTGAGCTCATCTAGATGAAGCAATTAACTTTTCATGCATGTGTTACTTAAAACATACAACCACTTAAAATACAGCATTCACATTGTCATTGGCTCGTGGTAGCAGGTAGGAGAAAACCGTGCTCCTGTACTACCTATCCCTAGAATTTTCCACGTATGCGTAAGTATCCTAAAGCCTACAGGTAGCCTACAATACTGTCATCAGCACTCCCACCTACAAAACATATACTGAACATATACTGTTTTGAGTCGCTGAAATTTCAATACCACGTATGTATAGTGTTCTAAATTTTACTTTTTTACAAGTTTAATGTAGACACAGAAGAAAACACCAAGCAATGTTTATTGTGCAATTCCAATAGTTATTTGTGGAATCTCAGTTTAGAGTCAGTCTTCATAGCCATTTCAACTGCCTAGTTTGAACAAAAGCAACAATCTAATTATGTACCTATAAATTCCCATGGTATTTCTTCAAACATCAAAGCACTGAAAGCACTGATGATTCATGTTCTAATTTTTTAAGTGTTTTAAAACTACAGATTTCATATAGCATTCCTTTTATAAAATAATCAAAACTGGATTACCTGGAAGAA